CTTGAATACTATGATGACCAATCAATGGTAATATTTTGAATACTATGATGACCAATCAACGGTAATATCTTGAATACTATGATGACAAATCAATGGTAATATTTTGAATACTATGACGACAAATCAATGGTAATATTTTGAATACCGTGACGACAAATCAATGGTAATATTTTGAATACTATGATGACAAATCAATGGTAATATTTTGAATACTATGACGACAAATCAATGGTAATATTTTGAATACTATGATGACAAATCAATGGTAATATTTTGAATACTATGATGACAATCAATGGTAATATTTTGAATACTATGACAACAAATCAATGGTAATATTTTGAATACTATGATGACCAATCAATGGTAATATTTTGAATACTATGATGACCAATCAATGGTAATATTTTGAATACTATGATGACCAATCAATGGTAATATTTTAAATACTATGATGACCAATCAATAGTAATATTTTGAATACTATGATGACAAATCAATGGTAATATTTTGAATACTATGATGACCAATCAATGGTAATATTTTGAATACTATGACAACAAATCAATGGTAATATTTTGAATACTATGATGACTAATCAATGGTAATATTTTGAATACTATGACAACAAATCAATGGTAATATTTTGAATACTATGATGACTAATCAATGGTAATATTTTGAATACTATGATGACCAATCAATGGTAATATTTTGAATACTCTGATGACCAATCAATGGTAATATTTTGAATACAATGATGACCAATCAACAGTAATATCTTGAATACTATGATGACCAATAAATGGTAATATCTTGGATATTTGAAATAATTAAAGTCAGCAATAACCAGACATTAATTTTCATTATTGTTTATTTTCAGGACATTCATCGATTTAATCCTAAGTGATTATTTTACTTGACACCAATCTATGTAATTGATTATACTGACCAAAAGAGTTAAATAGCCCTACCACCAACACTTCAAATAACAGACAAGATGACGAGTAATCCTAGCTGGTATTTCTGACCAATCTTAATATATTTATCCATACTAAGGAATAACACACTTTCTTGAGTTGAATATTTTCTCCACTAGAAAGACGAGAACAAATATATCGTATGTAATTCATCACCATGGTGAT